GCCTGAGTCTTTCTAGGGCAGTGTAAGCGGTGGCCAGAAAGGCCTCATTTGCATATGCTTTCTGAGAATTCTTCCACAAACTTCGATATAACTCTGAATGTGATCTAAGGGAATGAAATGGTTTTTGTTGCTGTTTGCTTATTCTATTTTTAGTTGAAGGCAACTCAGCTAAGGGTTGAGTTGGATGAATTTTTAACACACAGGTGTAATCACCAGCCATATCAGATCATTCAGTTTCAGTGTTACTACTACAATTCCTCTAGAGCGACCATATCTTAACTTCCCTCTTTGCATTTCTTCTCATTGGTGTATACCCCGTACTTACAATGGGAATTGCAGTGGGCAAAGGCATGTGTCACATCTCAGAATATTTAAGCTGGGAGGGTCCCCCATGGAATTTAAGGGAGGCTGAGTAAGGCCACAGGAGAGCGAGCAAACACTGCTTATTCACCCAGCTGTTTTTTCCAGATGCTCATCTCTTTTGATCAGTGGATCTCAGCGGTTTTTTCTACCCCCACACCTGAAGGATACAACCCCTCACCTCGAGATTAGTGGCTCAGTGTATTGGTGACGTTGAAAGGGAGGGGAGGTGCAGGTTGAGAAAGCTGCGCAGGTTGTTTTGATGTCTGCCCCTACCTGGGGTGAGACGTGAGACTCACTGACTGACTGCACTTCCCTGTCCTGAAATGCCGCCCATGAGAAGATTCACTGGGGTTTAATAGCCTCTGCGCTGGCTAGTCCCCATTTGCTGAGTGTGCGCCTTCCTTCCCTACCCCCAACCAGGCCCGCTGTCCACACCCCTCCTCGCCCTTCTCTGACCTGGGAGGGCTGCCTTTGGGCGAGGGGATGGGAGAGACGGGCCTTGCCCCCCCGCCCCCGCCCCTTCAGCACTCTCTCTGGCAGTGGCTGCCCCTTCCCCTCCTGCTGCATGGCCTCCTTCCATGGCCCCAGTGCCCACTCAGCTCTAATACCACTGTTTCCTCCCCTTTCTAACCCCAGGGGTGGTCACGGTTTCTAGCTGCTACTAGCCTCCGGGCGTCACACGATCCTTGTGTTGTGTTAGTCCTGTCCACACCTCTATATGGATTTTCTCCATCGAAGCCTCTCCCTCGGAACCATTGGGCTGAAGTCTGTTTCCTGATAGACTCTTGTCTGATCCAGAGATTTCGGGACACCCAGAAAAACACTTACATATGAAACAGTCGTTGACTACCAGGCGTACCGGCTTTCAGAAATGTTAAAACCTCACGCAGTGTGTGGCTTACTCTAGAGAAATGCCGCTTTGTTCAGGTGTTGTGGGCAGAGGGCTGTTTATCATTAAGAGTTTGCTTCTGACCAGAATCAGGGCTGGGAACATGGTAGTCGGCAGAGCGCTGGGTGTAAAGTCAGGAGAACTGGGTCCGAGTTTGGGCTCTGACACCCGCAGGCTGGGGAATCTTGAGTAGGCTGCCTTGCCACCCTGTGCCTCGGCTTCCTCTTTGGCAATCTGGGGCCACCCCAACTGCCATCACATAGCCAGGGTGGTGTGTGTGAGGACGAGAGGCCACACGTGAGAAAGGGCGGCGTGAACCGTGCAGCCCTCAGACGGGTGGGCCACTCTGGGATTCAAGTCAGGAACCAGACTTGGGGATGGAGGGACGAAAGAGACAGCTGGCGAGTGCCGGGCAGGGAGGTCCCCGAGACCCAGAGACAAAATGAGAAGACAGCGCAGACTATGCTTTTCTCCCCACCCTCACTTGTGACCTTCCCTTAGGGTGGGTGGTGGTGGTAGGCTGTTTAGTCAGCGGAGAATTAAGGAGCCCTTGCAAGTGCCTGACAAAGCCGTGGACCAGATGAAGTCCTTGCTTTCTGCGGTAGGAGAAACAAAGACATTCCAGCAGGAGGCGGTCAGGCAGTGCTTGGGTAGGAGGAAGAGCCTGTTCTCATAGAGGCCCAGCTGCACTTCCAATGGATATCTAGCCCACTAGCCGGTTCTCATGGACAGGTTCCTGAGTCTCACTTTGTTGATGTTCAGCCAGGGAATAATACCTACCTCAAAGGTTTGTGGGGAAGACCGCATGAGACAATCTCTGTAAGGTGTTCAGCCTGGTGCCTGACTCGGTAAGCGCTCAGTAAAGGCTGCCCTCGCTTCCTCTTAGTATGTTATTCCGGGGAGCCAGAGGACCCTTTCTAACCGCGTAATGCTAGAATGATTCCCCACGGAGGAAGCCGTGAACTGAGCTTGGAGGCTGAACTGGAGATTTGGCAGACGCAGTTCGGCCGAGGCACCGGCCGGACCAGCAGGTCAGCGCCCGCAGCACCGGGGCGCAGCTCTGTGTGTCTGGCGCTCAGGGGACTGGAAGGTGAAGGCAGGAGGCGGAAGGCAGCACAAGTTCTGCAGCAGTGGCAGGCCGGGATCAAAGCGCTCCGAAACAGGCCGGGGCGCACCGAAGGGAGGCTAGCGACTTGCATCAGCACAGATTCCGTGATGCTCTGCAGACATCTCGGGGCTGCTGGGCTTTACGGGAACCCACAAGAAAGGAAAGGGCCGGGGAGCAGGCGGGGTGGGGGCGGGGGCGGGCTAGGGCGCGACGGTGAGCTCCCCGCCCGCGCGCTCCCGGCGGCGCCTGCCGGGGCTTGGGCGCGCCCAAGACGGCGGAGGCCGTGAAGGACGCTCGCGCTCCCTTTTCCCCTCCTCCTTTCCCCATCGCGTTACTGGAAGGACTGTGTGGGAGAGACCCAGAAGCACCCGGATTTTCGAACGCGGTGTGGGGGAGGGCCGGGCAGCCACTGCTGCTCAAAGGAAAACCAAAAGTGCATCTTGTTCGCGCCTCTTCGACAGGCGCCTGCTCTCGGGAGAGCCCTGGATGTCGGGATCGCGCCTCCGTTTGGCGCCCCCAAGACTAAACTGAGGTGGCAGGGGGCCCGGGAGGCGCGGGAAAGGCCAGAGAGGGGAGTGAAAAAGTGTCACTATTCTCCTGCGCTTCCTCCCACACAGTCCCCACCTCCAGTTTTCTGGGTTTTGCCGCTGCCGCTGGGGAAAGGGCTGATTGGTTTTGCGTCAAAGAACTGCTTTTACTCAGTCCTGCTGGGAGAGGCACGTAAACACCCTGGCAGGCAAGACTTAGGGATTTTTAACTAACACATACACATACACACCCCTAAGCCCCCGTGGCCAACGCGCGCACACGCCTGCCCCACACCCCTCGCCCGGGCTTGTAGAGTTGGGGACTCTGCCTGGCTGGCGGCGGGTGGCGGTGGGGGTTCCAGGAGTCTAGCCAGCTTCGCCTCCGCCGCGCGCGTCCTTGGGGATGGAGCTCAGGACAGAATGTGTTTTATAACTGTAAACAATGACCCCGAGTATTGTTTGGGATTACCGTATCTTGGGGCCATTGGGGCGGCCAGATGCCGCCAGCCGTCCCGGAAACGCCAGCGCTTTATATAGAGCCCCGGGAAAGCTTTGAGTTCCCGGCTCTATTATTCTTTCCTAGCAACACCCCCACTTTACAGATAAGGAAACTGAGGACCGGAACTGTGATGTGCTATATTGCATGACGTATCACAGTCTTCATGTATCTTCCCTTTCGGTCCCCACAAGGATCCTCTTGGGATATAGATGGCGCCACTTACGAGTTGGGTAAACTGTGTGTAAGGTAAAAGCATGGGCCAGAGCCCACCTTCCTTGACTCCTAGTATAGCGCTCCTCCGGATCACTTCTGCAGATAGATTTAAGCTCCAGAGCTGACAAGGACCTTAAAAGGTTACCTTGCCCAACCCCTTCATTTTAGAGGGAGAAACTGAAGTCCAGAGAGGTTAAGAGAGGTTATGAAGTCTCAGAGCTCATAAATAGCACAGCCTGGTATTGGTGCTCCAAGGTCTTTTTACCCCCTACATCGCCCCGCCCGGCTCCATGAGGCGGGAAGATCTAGGAGTCCGGACTGCTTGCTCCTTGAACTTCGCTCCAAAACAGCTGAAGACAATGTTGGGCCACACCCTCTCCGGGGCTTCCCTCCTTCCCGGTTTTTGTTTTTTTTTTTTAAATTTGTAACAGTCGAGTTTGCTTATAATGCCCGATTGCTCCTATTAGATACGTCCTAATTGCTCGGAATAGAGGGCAGCCCGAATGTCTCGGCTGGTTAATTTTGTCTTTGAGGCTACTCTTAAGAAATTAATTGCAGGGACCAAAAAAAAAAAAAAAAAAGGTGGGGGGAGAGAGAGATGGGGAGCGGGGGAGGGAAGCAGTGGATAGCCAGTCACAGGGAAAAATAGGCAGGCCAGCTCCGCCCGGCGGCGCCGCGCCTCGCCACGGCCCGGCCGCAGGGCGGCGCGGATACCCTGCGTGCCCAGGGCGGCCGCTGCACCCGGCGGCGCCGCGGAGGGCGCCGACGACCACGCGGCCGCGCCCTCCCTGCGCCAGGCTCTGGGCCTGGCGGTGGCGCCGCACTGAACCGTCCGTCTCGCTCTTCAGGGCTGTGATTATTCTCTAAAACACTGCGCCGAGACCCGCGCGGCCGCTCTCAGAGGCCGCGCCCCTTCGCAGGACCTGGGGGAAGAAAGCCTGCGGCGCGCTCGGGAGCCGGCGAGGGAATCCCTCATCTTCCACGTCACCCGAAAGCCAGGGAACCCGCACTCGCGTCCTCTAACGCAAATGACCATCTTTGGCAACGTGCGCCAATGGAACACACCAAGGGCGCTGGGCTCGGGGGGTTGGCGGGGGCGGGCCAGGGCTGCCTCGGCTCCCCCAAACCGCGCCGGCCGGCCGCTCCCATCCCCGCCACCACCTTCCTTCCTCGCGCGGGGTGTGATGCTGGCGTCAGCGTGGCCCAGAGCCGGGGCAGGGAGTGGAGTGCTACGCCCGCCCCCTCCCGCGCTTCTTTTCCTCCTCCTCCTTCTGGGCCTCCTCCCCCCGCCTCCCCACGCGCTCCTCCCCGCAAGGTGGAGTCTGGGTTGACGTGAGAGAATCCACATGATACTGGGCTGGAGAATAAAGAGTGTGGAGTTGAACTCGTGCCATTGTAGTGACTCATCTCAGGCACAGCGCAGGGGTTCAGAGCTAACCAGCTAGCAAGTGAGCGGCGCTCGGCGGGGAGAGAGGGAGAGAGAGAGACGCGGACCGGCGAGGCAGGCCGGTCCAGGAGCGGGCGCCGGGGAAGGGGTCCAGGTCCGAGCGTCGGAGCCGCGGCACAGGGAGCGGGGCTACGTCTCTCTCAGCTCGAACCCCACGGGCTGCGGGACAGGCGCAGGCTACCTTTTCCTTCTAGTCAAGTGTCCGAGCAGCTCCGAAACTCAGGCGGCGCGTCGGCCACAGGAAGTTTATTTTCAGCTCCTTTTCTAAAAGGAGGAAATAGAAGTTTCTCCAAGCAGGCAGCCTTTCTTTTCGCTTTTTTTTTTTTTCTTTTTTTGCTTTGCTCGAAATCGGGGGCCCGAAGACCCGGCAGGCGCGACTTGCCGGGCTCCCGTTCTTTTTTAATTTCCAATTTTTTATTGAGCCGGCGATCCCGGCTGGGCTCCGGCTGCGCGCGGGGGCGGGAGAGCGCGCGCAGGGGAGGGACCGAGGGACGCGCTGACTTTTTAGAGGGAGGGACTGGGTGGACAACCGGTCCCGCGGCGCTTGTAGAGCAGGAAAGAACTGCAGCGCTCGGCTCTCAGGGAGGACCTATCCCGCGTGTCGTCGCGCCCGCCGCCGTGCGGAACAAGCCGGGGAGCAGAGACTAGAGCCCAGGCGCGGCCCGCAGGGAGCGAGCGCGTAGCAGCCAGTGCGCGGCCGCGGCGAGGGCGGGGAAAGAAAAACACCCTGTTTCCTCTCGGGCCCCCACCGCGGATCATGTACCAGGATTATCCCGGGAACTTTGACACCTCGTCCCGGGGCAGCAGCGGCTCTCCTGCGCACGCCGAGTCCTACTCCAGCGGCGGCGGCGGCCAGCAGGTATGTGAGGGCCCCGGGCACACCTGGTGGTGCAGGCGGACCCCCGTGCTCTCCACTCGCTGCCACTGCCTCTTTTGCTTTCTTACTCCTTTCTTGGCTTGGTGAGAAAATTCCACGGGCCAGCATTGTAAATTCTGGATTTTCGTCTTATCCTGCCCATTCCCATCACTTTTCTGTTTTTACAACTGGAGCGAGGAGTGGGCTGGAAAACCAGCAGACCCTTCCTTTCACACTACGTCTTATCCAGACACGCTCCTTGGGCACCAAGCCTGTTACCTCCTCTCCCAGGAACCCTTTGCCCCTTTCCTTCATCTCTCCTTGGTGGATCAAAAAAGAAAAAAAAAAAATGTTTGCACCTTCCTCCAGACATCCAGGGACCCTATTCCCACGGGAAAACCCTCTCCCTCTCTTTCTACACCAATCTTAGTTAATTTCTGAAAGACGTTGGGGACTCGAAAACACGGCTGGGTTCCGGAGTGAGGGTGAGGGTTGCTGCTCTGGGAATCAGGTGCGAAGGTCAGAAAGGAGGAGGTCAGCTTTGATTGGCTCCCGGTGGCGCCAGTGTGCCCCGCGCCCTTCCATCTCCTGTTAGGGTCGCAGCAGGAGCCTGCCCTGCCTTCAGAAGAGGCGCCTGGAGGGTCTGGAGGTACCTGGGGCAAGGACTTACACAGAGGGAAATAGGGGGAAGAGACCTCGTTTAGGTTCCTGGGTGGTTCTGGAAGCAGAAAAACAACTTGTTTCTAAAGCAGCCGGACTGGTTTGCACTGGAGGGATCGTGTGTGTGAGATGTGTGTCTATAAATACCAGAAAGGTGCTGGTGGGGTGCCTGCAGTAGCCCCCCACCCCGTGCCCTCAGACTTGTGAGGGAGCTGGCATAACAAGGCCCCCACAACCTGAAGCCTGCTGGTCAGGATCTGCGGAGCCTCTAGCCAATTTGGCTGCAGCAAGAGTTGCCTCTGCCTCTAGAGGCAAGAGTGGCCTTAGCCTCTAGAAGCCAGCCAGCCAGCCAGCAGCCAGGAGGGGCTGGGGTGAGCTTCCAGGGAGGGATGGACCCTGCCAGAGAGAAAAATGGAAACACGGTTCTCTTTGGGACCTGAATCACCTTGTTCCACAGTGATTCCCTGTAGCTGGTGAGTCCCCAGCCATCTTCCCCAGTGTCCCCATAGGGAGACTGGTCTGTGAGTGGAGGGTGCAGTCAGTGCGCCCTTAATAACGAGCACCAAGGCAATGAGTTTAAAATCTTATCGTGAAAGTGTTTGACATTATTTGCTTTTCAGCCTTGTTGGCGGTTTGTATGGAATCCAAATATCATTAGGCAAGGGGTTGTAGTTACTGATATCCATTCCTTCACTCTCCAATTCAGCAAATCCCCAATTGTCCCCCTCCCTCCCGAATCAGGAAGGGATCTTTTGATTTCTCGTTTGTGCTTTGGCTGCCGTTTCTGTGGCAGTCATCATTGAAATATGACAATCTTGCCACCTGGCTTTGCTCAGACCCTGGGGCCTGGATGGGAAGTCAGACCGGACATTAGCGTCCCGATTGAATAATCTGTGTCACTAGGGCTTTGAGCCCAGGATGTGAGTGGAGGCAATTCCCTGTTTTGGAAGAAAATCAGACAGGAAACCAGTGCTAGGAAGAAGGAAGAGAACTCAGTCCAGCAGAGTGTAATGGGGCCTCATTACCGAAGCAAAAAGCAGCTGTTGGCTAATTCCTAGCATGCTGTAACACATGAGGATTTTGCAATTAGTAATAACTAGTGCACGGGGTTCTGGAATATACGCCTGCCCCTTGGCCCAGCAGCTGGAGTGAGGTGCCTTTCAGACAAGAGCGATTGACAAGGTAATGCCATTTGAGGCACTGTTCTCAGCCTCTCCGCTCCTGGGGGGTGATGGGAGGTTCCATCATCTCTCTGGCTTTGAGCAAAGCTGTTCTGCCATCCTAAGGACTGACTCTTTGAGAGGCGTTTGTTACTTAACAGGCCTGTGCTGTGACCCCACCCTATCTCAAGGTAACTTTGTTACATACTAGATAAAACCTATAATCATTTTATTTCTCTCAGCTTCCTTTAAGGGGAGTCTGCTGGCAGTTAGACATGGCCTTCCTCCTCTATGGCATCTCAATGGACCAATCACTGTAAACCACTGTTCTCTGGTTTTTCTTTGGGCGAGGGAATATTATTTTTTCCTGATCTCTTTGTTTGTGAGGTCTACTATTCCTGATGTTTGTTGCTGTTTATTCAACCCAGAACTTTCCTCTCAAGCTTCATAAAGCTTGATCGTAACATGGTCATGAGTTCCAGTGAAGGGGGTGGGGTGGGGGTGAGGGGCAAGAAATAACTTTTTGTTAAAACCCCTGCTCTTGTATATGGCCGGAACTTGAAGCATGAGAAATATTTCCTGTTCCAGTTACAGTTTTAATCTCAGAGGTTGGTCATTGGTGATTTTGTTTTGTCAGTAATCGTTGCACATACCTCCCCCTCCTGGCTTTTTCTTTGTGTTGTTGTTTTCTCTCTCTCCTGACTTTCCTAGGAAAACACCTCCCAGATATATGCGCTGCCTGGCTGCTCGGCTATTACGGTTTCAGGGCCTGAGCATTACGCAATCCAGCCAGTTACACAAACATAGGTCATTTCATAACTTGTTTTCATCAGCTGGGCCCCCTTTTAATGAAAAAAACAAAACAAAAGAAAACAAAAACAAAACCCAGAACTTTTCCAAGGCTGCCATTTATCTCTACCTTAGATAACTTGTGAAAATAAATCAAGGGAGACAGTTCTTTTCTGGAATCAAGGAATACCAGACTACCTCTCTTCAGGAGCCACCCTTCCCAAGAGACAGACGCGCACACAAAATTTCCCGGAGTGAACTTTTGCCAACTGTACCAGGCTGGGACATTCCTCGCATCAAAGAACTTTTACCAGAAATGACTGTGATTCCCAAGTCAGCCCTAATCATACCTCTCTAGTGCCCCCTACGGGACATTCTTAGAAGAACCATCTGGGGAATGTATTTTTCCAGCTCCCAAGATTTAACTTAGTGAGTTTTTGGAATTCTTAGGATTATTTTCTTTTTAGTTCAGGACAAATAAATGGCATACATTTAACAGTGGTTAACTAGGAGTTGCTTGACTTTGAGATGCAATTAAAAAAATGTTTTTTCTTTTGTTCTAAATTGGGTGTCCAAACCGCAGCTGCATGCTGCCCAGGGTGGCCATGAATGTGGCCCAATGCAAAATCATAAACCCACTTAAAACATTATGAGATTTTTGTTGTTGTTGTTTCTGTTAGTGTTCGTGTATTTAATGTGTGGCCCAAGACAACTCTTCTTCTTTCAGTGTGGCCCAGAGACGCCAAATCATTGGACACTCTTTTAAACGAAACCTGGTTGAAAAGCGGTGCTTTTTTTCCCCTTTCCCTATTTTGATGTCTGTCTGCAAATTCCCAAGGCTTGTTTTGTTGATGTGTTTGTATTGGGAGACTGAGAATTGTTTTGGTGGGGGTGGTCTTCAGAATTGGTGGGGAGGTGGGAGGTATATATGAAGGGTCTGGTGCCCCTTCCCTTTTTCTGCCTTGATCCTACCCCAGCCGTCGGAGATTAGGATCAAACAAAATGTTATCCCAGGAATTTGTCTGTTCCGCTGATTCTTGACGGTGGAAGTCAGCGTCACTTTTTCATCACAGTGAGTAGGGTGAAACAGCAGTCATGTATTGTCTGAGGGGCCGTTGAATTTTCCTTTTCCAAACCCCCGAGTGCATTTCCATCACTTTACTCCTGCCCGCCTTATTGTTCAAGGTGAGTGTGGATTTAGGAGCCTCATTTTTTTTTCCTTTGTCTATCTTCATACAAACACCCCAGACCTTATGCATTCAGATCACTCTTGTCCCTTCATAATTGCTGAGACTAAATACTTGTTTGAATGCTGAGGGGATTAGTCACATTCAGAAAGGTTTTATAGCGCCCCTCTTTTGGAATTGCCTTCAGCAAATTCTTTTGAAAATCCTTCCTGCTAACAAATCTTTGTCCTTTGAGGGTAAGTTTGATAACTTGGAAATTATCAAGAGATGCGATATACAAGGAACCCCATCTGAGATACAAGGTCTGGGTGGTCCGGCTGGGTCCAAAGCAGAGTGGGACCCCGAGTCCTGTTGGGCTCCGTGTCTGGCGTCTGCCTGGGAGGGCATTTGCCAGGACAGAGCTCACCAAAGGCACCTTTGTCATCTATACCTTTGGGTTTGTTTCTTTTTCTTTTCTCTTAAAACAGGAATAAAAATACTGGTTTTGAGAGTTCAGGAAGCTGACTTTCTGATCTGCTGAAAGAAAGAAAACAATGGTGTCCTTACTTTGTGGATATGTCTGTCTCCTTCATGTTGTGTATAGTATCTTTTGGTGGCCACACCATTTCGAAAGGATGGCAGCGGCCCTGACTGAGGCAAGGATATCTGTTCCAAAACCCACTTGGTGACTCTATCCCTCTTCAACTCACTGGGCTGGAGAGGGAAGATAGGAGTTCTCTCGCCCAGCAATGACTTGGCCACGCTCACGCTGCGGAGGTTGCAAGGGAGAGGGCTGGCCCTTCCCACTGAGGGAAGGTGTGTCTGAGGATGGGTGAGGGAACAGAAGGGGTCCACGGAGGAGTGGAGAGAATTCCCTGCGTTCTGGAGTGGGGTTTCTGGCCAAAGTGGCCCAGGAGGAAAGAAGCGGGAATCTGAGGGAATAACTCTCTATCAGCCCCTTTCTTCTGTTCCTTTTTCTTTTCTTCCCTGATTTTCATTATTCTGGCAGATAGGTAAAAAAGGATAGAATGGTTCTTTCAAGTGGACTGGGCAAAAAGAGGAAGTTGAACGGAGGTAGGTTACCTGAGACAGCGTGCCTATGCTATAATATTTGGAGAAGCCATGGGTTATTAGTAACTGTTTCCACTAGGACAGAGTGGCCTTCCTCAGATAGTCAGGAGAGGTCAGAGTGATGTTCGGTGCTGAAGCTGTGGAGAGTGGTTGAATTCCACATGGAAGGCTTTGGAGAACGTCCCGAGTTCAGTTAAAAAAATAGAACATTTGAGTCAAACGGGGCCTCACCAGGGGATTCTGGGGTGTATGAGGGAACATTTGCACTTACCCTTTCCTCTTCCCCTGGGCCAGACTTCTGGGATGTTGGAATTTTCCTTTTCCTGTGCTGGGAATCTTAAAAAAAAAAGAGGGGGGGTTCTTAAGAGAAAGAACCCAGTTCCTTCCTGGACATGCACAATCATACCCACCCGCCCGTGGGGACAGGGCACCGGCACTCATGGGGTTCATGGCTTGAGTGCTCGGTGGCTTATTCCAGAATCAGCCCGATGGGGAAATGTCTGGCCAAGGGCATAGGCCAACCCCACTTCCATCTCACTTCTGCCCAGGTCGGGAGTTGCTGGGGTAAGGCCTGCCTGGTCCATGTGTACAGGCAACGGGAGGCCAAACCCCGGTTCTGAGGCCCTTATGTGGAAGGCCGTGGTTAGAACCCTCATTTCTGAACCCGAAGCTCTGGTGTAAAGTTCAGAAAGGTCATTTTCCCAAATCAGCAACTGCTGGGCGGCAGACCTCTCATGTCTGATGAAGTTGGGTGGCCCAGGGGCCCTGTGTTCTGAGCTGTCTCTCATAGGCAGTGGGAGGAGGACACACATACTTACTGAGGAGCCCGTGGCACCCGTAAGTACAGGGTGCTGCGGAGCAAAGGAGTTCTGATGCCCAAGACCCACAACGAGGCCTGTAAGGGTTCAGACTTCAGCTTCAGGGCCTGGAGATTCGCGCCGATGAGCGAGGAAACCCGCCCCATGATCCCCCGGGGATAGAGGAATACCTCAGGTCTGATTTTCGGCATTCGTGTTTCCTCTCTTTGTTCTTTTCCCTCAAACATGAGCAATGGAGATGAAAATGATCCTCCACAACAGGAATCACCAAACTGTGGCCTAAGTTTTTTCTTTTCTTTTCTTTTTTTAATATAAATAAGGTTTAATGGAACCCAGGTCTGCCTATTTGTTTACATATTGTCTGTGGCTGCTCTCACGCTACAGTGGCAGGCTTGAGTAGTGATGAGAGACTGGTATGGTCCACAAAGCCTAAAATATTTACTGTCTGGCCTTTTACAGCAAAAGTTTGCCACACTCTCCTCTAAGAGGTCAGTGGGGGCTGGTGTGTCCTTTTAGGGGCATTCTTGCCCACCTGGAAATCACCAGGATGGCACAGTTAAATACAGCAGTTGGAGGTTTGGCCAGGTTGGAATGCCACCCAGTCGTCCAGCATCTTTGGTCCTGGCCCTAGAAGTGGAGCTTCGAGGGGCACTGGAGAGCCCCAGAGGAGTCAAGCCGGGTCCTGAGTCCCCCCCTTTCCCCGCACCCCCAGCACGCACTTGGTGCTGCAGCAGGGACCTAAGCCTGTGGCTGGGCAACCTCATCTGAGTTTCTGGTCAGTGTTAACCTGTTCACAGAGAACCATGATTTACCCTCAGCATGACATTTGACTGAGCCTTGGGTCTGTTGGCAGAGACGAATGCCCGGCTAATGTCTGGGGCCACAAAGTCCGAGCCTCACCTCTCCTACCCCTGTTGCTCTCTGAATAAACCTTCACTTAGACTTTGTGTGTCTCAGACAGGCTCCTCTTCGAGACAAAGGCCTTCTTTATCAGAGCCCTAGTCCCCTCTGGGGATGGGACATTGTTTGCCTTGCCTTTGGAGCCAGTGTGTTATCCAGATGGCTTCACCTCCCTCTCAAACAAGTTGCACACACTTTTAGAGGCAGTCATTACCTGCTGTCTTGCTTTTATTGCTGTCTTGTTTTGTCTAGACCCAGCAGTTGCTGCAAGGAATCTGGCTGGTGGCCGGGGAACACTTCTGCAGCCTGCCGTCACAGGGTGGGGGACGGGAGGGGGGGGCGGGCCCTGTGAAGGGCTGAGAGTCACCCAGTCATTCCTTAGAGGCTCTCAGTGTCCACGCGTGGTTTCAGATCTTTTGCTTGCTTTCCCTCCACTGAAATGGGAGCTCTTTTGTTGGTTGGAATGAAGAGTAAGTTTCTTGGGTGCTCTCCTGGAAGGGAAGCCAGCAGTCCCAGTAAACTGATGCGCAGGGTGCTCAGGTGTTCCTCAGACCCAGAGCCTGACTTGGGGAGAGAAGTGGAGGGAAGGTGTTGGGTGCTCCCAGGATGGGAAGCTGGCAGTCGGTCCCCCGGGACCACCTCGTGCGGAGTGCGCCGCTGATGATGATGATGAATAATGACGTGGGGGTGACGGGGTGATGGTGCCGCCTTCTGTTTGTTCGGAGCAGCATTTCTCAACCCTGCTGCACCTTAGAAATCTCCTCAGGTGGGTTTTTTTTTTATATATATATATACCTTATCAGAACTGCACCCCAAACCAGTTATTTTAGCGCTCTTAATGGTGAGGCTGGCCCCAGCACGGGTGTTTTTAAAAAGCTCCTCAGACTAGGCTAATGCGCGGCCAGGGTTCGGAACCACGAGTGTGCTTTTTTTATAGCCTGTGATTACAGGTAGCTACTAATTTAACCTCAGGACAGTGCGGAGAGTTTGGTATTAATATTCCCATTTACAGGCGGGGAAACTGGGTCCTCGGTGACCTGCCAAGGCCTTGAGTCCAGGCCTCCTAACTCCAAGTGCGGTGCTGACTCCCTGCCAGCCCCTCCTCACCCGGCCCCGCCGCCCTGATCCCCCGACCGCCGCAGAACAGCTGCCTGGGCCTTAGTACTTCGGCGCATGTTCTCAGGACCCTGCCTCCGCGAAGCCTAGCCCTGGTTGTCTGTTTTTCCTCCTTGAAGATCATTTCTCAGTAGAATCCTTCACCGCCCCCCCCCCATATACACCTTCTTTTCAATCATCTCCTAATTAAAAAAAAAACAACCCAGTTGTTTGTGCCTTCTGAGTTGACACAAAACCCCTTGCACTGAGCAGATGTCCGTGCGGAATCCCAGAATTCCTTGCACCGCTAGCATCACAAAATCCCAGAATTTATTGTACCAGGTAACATTCCTCATGGGATCCCAGAATTCCTTGCACTGGGCAGCTCTCCTCATGGGATCCCAAAATCCCTTGGGCTGGGTCACTCTCTTCGCTGAAGGTCTTTGGCCTAGGGCTCCAAGGCCTCCTGGGAGATTCTGCCACCCAGACTAGGTCAGGCAGCTGAGGGGGGCATGAGCAAGGAATGGTTTCAGCTCCCTCAGATCCAGTGAGGTGCTCTAAGCTCACTTCACTTGTACTACAGGGGCCTAGATGTCATCACCAGGGGCAAAGACAGTGGCAGTGGCAGCTGCCATTGCTGCCAGTACTTGTGATCTGCGTCGGTGTGATTGGGCCAGAAGCGGGGGGCAGTGCTCACGATAGCGGGATTTCATCTGGGGTCAGACCAGCCTGTAGGGCCTCCTGGGTGAGAGGGAAGGGCTGCAGGGCCTGCGGCAGTGAGGACCGGGTGCCCCGTCTGAGGGCGCCGGGGGTGGATGCCGGCACTTGGGGCAGAATACTGGGGAAAAGGGAAGTAATGCTGCAGAAGCTTGGGTAGCGTGTGAGAGCGTCGGCCTCTCTGTCGGGCTGACCCAGGTTTGAATCCTGACCCTGCTGCTTATGGGCAGCATGGCCTGGGAGAAGTTCATCTCTTCATGCCCAAATTCCTGCCTCTAGAATGGAGATAATGGTAGTTCTTACTCGAGAGGGAGAAAGAATGAGTAATCCAGGTAAAGCACTACCGTGTGTCTGTCGTTTACTAAATGCTCAGTACGTGTTTGTTATCATCCTGTCGTCATTTTACCCACCAGATTAGGGAAGAAGGAACCTGCAGACTCTTGGTGGGAACAGGAACCTCAGTCTGAGAGTTCCGTTTGGGGTGCTTTCCCCCGAACACTGTAAGACGTGGGGGTCCTCCCTCCCTCCCTCCTCCCACTTTGTAGTAGCTTCCCTGAAGAACAGTCCAGCCCAACTGCTGAGGAGCCAGGCCAAGTTCAGCTTTTGTACTCTGTCATCATCTTATATTTGAAATAGAATGCTTCCTGCAGCATGTTCCGGAGAGCCCTGCAGCATGGTCTGGGCGTAAATGAAGGGGCAGAGAGAAAACTCTGAGCCAGCAGCATCAGCGTTCCCCATAGATGCCTCTGCGAACACAGAGAGATAGTGTGGATGGGCAGAGCCACGGCCTGTCGGTCCCAAGCAAGCCGGGGGCGAAGGGCGAGGAGGAGGTCAAGGACAGCAAGGGGAAGTCTGGCAGCAAACGCTACCACTTTTCCGTCTCATGGGCTGGAGGACACCTTTTCACATACCCAATCACACCCTGATGGGGTCACAGCCCCATTCTGATCCTGTTTGAAGAGGAATAAAAGCAGGCACCATGAGCTTCCTGTGATCTTTGTTGCTCCAGAGCTGTGGGTTGTGCGGCTGCCCTCAGGGTCCGGAGTTGGTGTACCCTGGAGAATGGCTGGCGGGCGGCTCGGAGGCGCTGGAGGGCTGCAGAGAGGGCCTGCTGAGAGTGAGCGGCTAGGGACCCCATCTGTCCTAGAAGTCATATGGGATAGGACCACGTCCTCACTAAGCCACCAAGGGATGAGTTCCTGGGGCTTCATTCATGAAGCCAGGCTGACGCAGGGCCCCAGGAATCATTAAGATGCCCCTGATTCTCGGAGGTGCGGGACTTGTCCGGGGGAGACCACCAGCATCCTGACCTTGGTCCCCCAATCGCTGACCCTGGCTTCTGCTGGTTTTTGTCTTCTGTCTCTGCTTGTCCTGTTGCGCACAGTGTTTCTTGGCTCAATCCTACCTTTCTCCTCATTTCAGAAATTCCGGGTAGATATGCCTGGTTCAGGCAGTGCCTTCATCCCCACCATCAACGCCATCACGACCAGCCAGGACCTGCAGTGGATGGTGCAGCCCACGGTGATCACCTCCATGTCCAACCCGTACACCCGCTCGCACCCCTACAGCCCCCTGCCGGGCCTGGCCTCTGTCCCTGGGCACATGGCCCTCCCAAGACCTGGCGTGATCAAGACGATCGGCACCACCGTGGGTCGCAGGAGGAGAGATGAACAGGTACAGCTCAGATCAGCATCAAAAAGCCACATAGGTGGCTTTCAGGGCCTCATTACACAGTGTGTCTTCTGCAGACTGGTGGGGAGTCAGGGGGCTGGGGTCGCTGGGAAGAGGAGGGAACTAGGAGCCAGGGGCACCTGACTTTCATCATTGGAGGCAGAGCTGGAGGCCTGAGGGCCAGGTTCAGCTCCATCATCTCACCCGTGTCCCTTAGAACCTTGGAGTCTCAGTTGCCTCAGCTGCAGACTGGGGACTACCGTCCTTGCCGGCCAAGACTTGTTGCCGCTCATGCGATCGGGCGTGGGAAAGCACACTGTGAGTGACGAGGTGTCAGCAAATGGGAAGGACTGTTAGGACCTGCCTACAGCAGTGTCCTCCTCTGATCCTTGGCAGAGTGGCCGCAGGATGGGCAGCCAGCGGACCTTGGCCAGGAGTTTTCTGGGATTAGCCCTTGCTCTCTTCAGTAGCTGGGGCAGACAAGCCACCTAGCAGACCCAAAGGGCCACGCGCTAGGCTGGTGCTGTGCACAGCACTTCCCATTCCACCTCGGTGTCCCAGGCCTCCAGTGGGACGCAGGAGCCCGTTTCGAGTGCCTGCAATGTGTGTCCCAGAAGCGCCGTGACTGGAGTCCTGGGAGCCCGCTCAGCTGCTTGGCTGACCCGGGTTAAGGGTGGGAGATCCCATGTCAGCCTTGTTTTCTTCAAGGGGCTCCGCTTTGAGGAGGAACCAGCCTGGCTGGGAGGGACACCAGAAAACGGTGGGGCTTCCGCTCTCTGGCAGCATCCGCCCAGCACTCAGAAGGCCCACTGCCTGCGTCTGCAGTGAGCTAGGGCAGCATCAGGCCCCCGGATTCCAGACAGGGGCCTCGGCATCATGCATGATGTCACAGGGCCCCGATCTGTCCCCCTTCACAGAGGACACAAGCGAAGCCCAGGCACACCTGCCTGGCCACTCAGCAATGAGTGGGAGTCTGGGGGAGTCTGGACTAGAACCCACTTCCCTGGACTCCCCGTGCGGTGTTCTTCCTCCAGCGCCATGCCACCGTGAGCCCAGGGAAGGGAGGGTGCTTTAGCAGTGGACTCCGTTTTTCAAATGAAGTGTTAACCCGGAGAACTCCAATTACAGCATTGGAACCCCTCCTCTCTGGGATCCTCAGCTCCGCAGTGTTCCCGTACAAGGGCCTTTATGTGTGGTCCCCAGTGGATGGGCATGGACCCGGGGCCGGTAGTCCCCAGGATACTTAGAATGACAGGGATTGCTCTCCAAGGAACTGGCAGCTTTTGCAGGAGCCCTCTTCCTCTGAGGACAAAGCCGGGCCTTGTATCCACTGCATGTTGGCTTGTTCTGTTAACAGCAGGACCCATGCAGGGCGACATGGGGAGGTGTCTGTCCATAGATGCTGTAATGGATACAGCTCACAGTGGCTATTGGGCTTCTGCTGCTGGGGCAAGTGGCCCATATTCCCCTCACTGTCACTTTCCACAATTTCCAAGTAGCTATTGCAGTAGCAGTGATCTCAATGTCCTTTATAAATGTGCTTCCTTCAGGGAGCCCAAGGTGCCGCGCTTTACAGTCACCCACGGGCTGGATTCTCCCTTGTGTGTAAGCAACTCCTGAGGGACCTCCAGGCTTGGGAGAGGGACTCTCTGGGGCTAGGAGGACAGCAAAGCAAGATGTGCTGAACACTCTTCATTCTTTTCTGGGCCTAGCTCATACCCAATTTAGAGGTTGATACCTGGTAGGGATTTTGGAGACCAGCTTTTAAAATTTTCCCTCTGCACCCATTTTACAGACGAGGGAACTAAGGCCCAGAAAAGAGCAGGGCCCTGGCCAGGGCCCCACAGTGAGCTAGTAGCAGAGCTGGGACTAGAATCCGCCTCCTTTGACCTCCAGTTCTGTGGTTTTCCCACTGCACCATTGAGGCGTGCCCTGAGACAATCTGTCTGGAAAATTTCCTTCCTTTTTTGAGAGGGGAGAGAGAGCCAGGAGCATTTTATTTCGTGTCATTGTCACTTAGTCCAGACAGTTATCCGGCAGCTTGGAGGAAGCCTGGGTGGTAGCATCCTCGCACCTCGGAAAAGCCACAGGGACTTTTCCCTGAAGCTTGCTCCTGCCTTCCTGCCGTGCACTTGGGGGAGGGGCCGGTACTGGGAGCCAGCCTGGTGCCTCGCCACCCTCCTCCGGAGCCTGCCCCAAGGCTCCCTCTGAGGTCTGTGGCAGGGAGGGGAGGGTGTGTGTGGCTTGTGGGTGGGTACACCATGGTGCTGACACACTCAAGCTGTAACCATGTTGATGTCACCACCCCTGAACACTTCCTATGCCAACAGCTCCCATGAATTGCCCCAGACCTCACCAGATAGACAAGAGACTTCTAGGCCGGGCGGGAGGCCAGTGGTAGTCCAGACGCAGCCGAGGGGTCAGAGAGGCCTCAGTGGACCGTGGCCAGTCTTCTATTGATGGGAGTGAGAGCCTGGCTGGACCTCCAGGGCGCCCTGAACCCAGGACAGCAGTAGGGCCTTCAGACACTCTTGGTAACCCTCTGGGGCTCGGGTTTAGGAGCAGCAAGTATTGAGAGCCTTGGCCAAGGGGCCTCATGACCTCGGCCTGGCAGGTGACCCCTGCACAGCACAAGGTGCCCAAGTCTGTGGACTCTGGGTCTCCAGGCCACTTGGAGTCTATCAGGACTGAGAAAAAGCACCAGAGAGGAGATCTCCGACTTGCATCACTATTCTTGCAGTTTCGAGTTTAGAGAGGGCTCTCACACTGCATCTCATCTGATCACGACGCTTTGTGGAAGGCAAGGCAGGTCCTGTGAACCCCATTTTGTACATGGGAAACCTGGGGCCCAGAAGCGTTGGTGATTTGTTCAGGGCCACATGGAAATGCCAGCCTGAGAGCTCTCAGAAAAGAGAATATGGAGCCTTTGGCTCTTGGGGGAAGCGGAGTAGCTCAGAGGCTGGAAGTGTGGCCGAGGCTTGAGGTGGGGAGTGGAGCCAGGGCTAGACTCTGGGACCAGGTCTTCAGAAGGGGCCTGAGGTCACACAGGGGTGTCGCCTGTTGGACTGCTCGGCGCATCCCAGCTGGAGTCCGCTGCAGGGCATGAGAATCTCGGTGAGGGGGAAGCTGGGCCTGGTTTTTCACCCTGGGGAGGCAAGGGTGGTGAGGGAGCCTGGTCAGGACGTCCTGGGAGGAAAGGCGGTCCCCAGGCCTGACACAGATGGGCGGGCGCCTGGCCCTGCTGAGCCCTGGGAGCAGGGGCCCGACGACCAGGAGGCCCTGCAGGTCTCCCCAGCCCGCCTGGTGCACCGTGACTGCGGGGCCAGGACTTGAAAGCCAGGGAGGTGGGATGAACTTGTGTGTGCTCAGGTGGCCCTGGAGAGACTCTCATCTGAGCAGTCAGTGGTCAGCTGGCGCATCTTCACGCCAGGGTGTGGGGGATGCAGAGACAGGGCTCTGGCGCCACGGGGCCCGGGGAGGACCACAGTGTAGACAGGGATGGGCTTGTCCTCTCTGAGGCTGTGCCGCGCTTTGCTGTCCCGGACATCACAGCGGCTGTCCCAGGGACGCTGACATGGGCCCAGCTAGGAGAGTGGCTCCCTCCCCACAGGGTGGCCGGAAGCGTCCCTCAGTGGGACAGCTTCTTTGGCTTCCTCCAAAAGTGGCTTTGGCTTTTGTGCCCAAGTGCCCCTAGAGTGTAGGACCCAGATCTTACGCCCCTCAGAGTCTCCTAAGCCCCCACTGCTGCGCTGCGCTCCTGGGTGGGCCGTCAGGGTCCGATAATGGAATGGGACAGCCTTGCCTTCTGAGCTGCTTTCTGCCGTGGCGCACAGCCAACTCCTTTTTCACATCTGCCTGCAAGGGGCATCGGGTCGCAGCCTGGGAAGGCTGTGTGCGGGAGCGGAGCGTCAGCACTGCTCAGCGGAGCCGAGCCCTTGCCTGGCAGCGCGAGTCACCGGCCCCTCACCAGCCTCTTTGTAAGAAGCTAGATTGCAAGCTTCGCAGGGGATTTTTTCTCATTTGGTTCTCGGATAAATCGCAAAGCCCGCAGACTGCGCCTGGCCCCCTGGCCCGTAGAGGGGGCTGGCTTGCCGAGTGATCGGATGTGGCAGCAACAGGAGCTAATGTGCCTGAGGGCTGTCCCTCCTCTCGCCCATCCTGTGCAGCCCAGCACTATGCCAGGATGCTGCCGGCTCCTCGGCTGGTACTCTGAGCAGCTGGCACGGCAGGGCTGGCAGAAGAAGTCGGGAACTGAGTGGCATCTTTGACCGGCCCTCTGGCAACAGAACGTCCCCCCCACCCCACCCCGGATGGTTTTTAACTCTGGGCCCAGCCACTTAAAGAAATGGGGATAATGAGGCTTGCCCAGCAGACTGAGTGATGGGGAGGAGTCATTAGCCCAGGGCTGGAAGAAGCTGCTTTAGTGGGTGGGCCAGGCCCAGTCTGGGATGAGGGGACTCTCTGGGGGAAGCAGTCCCAGCTCTTCTCTGGCCTGGGCACTGAATCAGGGCTGATGTGACAAATGCTGCGGCCATCGTGCCCGGGTTGGTGCATCCCTGACCTGCTTTCTCCCTTCAGACGTGGGTGGGTTCCGCTGGAGGTGTCCTCCCAGGTGGCCAGACAATAGTGAGCTGCGCATGCAGGGGCCTCTGAGCTGGGCCGCGCTCCCCTTGCCTTCCTCCCTCCCCTCCCTAGTCCCAGAGGGGCTTCCTGCCCTACTTCAAGTGCAGAAGGCTGATGAGCCATTTACAAAACCTCATCGTGGTCCTCTCCCTTGGCCTCTAGCTGTCCCCTGAAGAGGAGGAGAAGCGTCGAATCCGGAGGGAAAGGAACAAGCTGGCCGCCGCCAAGTGCCGGAACCGACGTCGGGAGCTGACGGAGAAGCTGCAGGCGGTGAGGAGCTCTGCGTGGGGTGGGGGCACTTCTGGGTGGGCCCGAGCCAGCGCCCCAGGGCTCCTGGCGCTTCTACCCCCTCTGCACCCACTAGTGGCCTTCCGCTGAGGCAGTGGAGATACACATGGGGTAGCACTGGCCTGATTAAAGAAAAGAGGGGGACGGAGGGGCCTGGCGTTTGGCAGCAGCCTGTGTCCAGAGAGGAGAACTGGACAACCTCATTGGGCCTGCTGCCCTTGTTCGCTCAGTGCCTGAGCCGTCCCTGCTCTCAGACCCGCCGGGGCCCCCCGAGTGAGGGATGGCAGTGCCGGGCCCTGGGGGCCAAGGCAGGCCTGCACCTGCCCCCTCCAGGGCTGCTTCCCGAGGTTCCGGCCGCCCCCTGTGTCTACCAGCAGCAGCGCTGGCTGGTTGGGTCAGGGGAGGGCCTGCTCTCTGGGCTTCTTCTCCAGGGGACTTGGTGCCCGATGGGTTACATGTCGGCCCACAGGTACCGTCTTGGGGTTTCTGGAAACTTTCTTGGGCAGGAGGATTCTCTGCCTCTGCTATGAGCCTGAGGCTGTGACCTTGGTACTTCATTCTGCCCTTGTGAGTCACTCTTCGCTGCTGCCTGTTTGCCCACACCTGGGGGCCCATGCCTCTGCCCGAAAGTTTGACCTGACCAACATCACATAACTCCCTCCAGAGCCTAGCTCTACAGGACAGGCTGTGGGCCGTGCAGGGGGAGCCCAAAGCTAGGACCGGCCCCCCTGGGTAGAATGTCTTCAAAGTGAGGAGATGAGGGAGACTCTGTCGTTGGTCCTTACAGTGAGCAGCCAGTATGAGGCTTTTGAAATCACAAATTACCTGGCATGTCCCATCACTGCATTTAATCCTCTCGGGTACCATTCCCCTGCTTCAGCGTCCCCCTTTGTCCAGCCTGGAGCCCGCACTCTCGGGCCTCGCAGGCGCGCTGCGTGAGTTCTGTGATGCCTGTGCTATCGCCCCTTGGAGGTGTTCGTCACAGTCGGGGAGGGCAAGTGGAGTTCCCTGCTGCTGGGGGAGGCACAGCCACTTGTGATCAGCACTCCGTGGGGAGACAGACTCCCCCAGGAGAGCCCTCCTCACTGCCAGCCCGTGGAGGAGCCAGGCCCTCTGGGTCTACCCTGGGCACTCCTTACCGCCAGCCCCAGAATAGCCCGCCCTCTGTGGCCCCTCTGCTTCCCTCCCTGCCCTCCCCTAAAGCCTCACACCCTACTCCCCCGCCTCCCCACCCCCAGGCCAGCCACCCAGGCCCCTGAGCCACATCCTCCACAGGAAACCTCTCATAAGCTCATGACGTTCATCAGACCCTTGAGATAGATGGAAACTTTTTTTCACTCCGGAATATGCTGCACTCCACTCAGTGAAGCCCGGGCCCCATATCCTCTCATGCTTGAACGGGAACCTGTGCTAGGGAAGAAGTGGGGAGGAGGAGGCTGGTGACACACACCTTTTCGTCTTCCGTGACCACCCCTTCCACGTGCATGTGCCGCTTCTCTGGCTTTGTATAAAACCGGGGGCTGAGGTCCTTGCTGCTGGACCCTGCCATCCTCACGTGCTCGCCCAGGCTGCCAGGTTCCTCCTCGGTGAAGCCCAGGAGCTGAGCTGGGGGTTCTTCGGGTCCTGAAACACATGCTACTGAAATCAGAGTGAAGGACGGAAGAGCAGTTGTGATGATCCGACCAGGCTGACTGAGCACTTCCTACGAGCCAAGCGGCATCCTGGGCTTGTGGGTCCTCACAGTCTCCGCTGTCATGCAGCTTGGAGTTTAGCGTGTCTGCATCCACAAACAGGCTCTGGCGTCAGGCACACGGAGGTCAAATCTGAGGGCAACAGGTTCCCCACCTGTTGGCTCTGTGACTTCAGGCAAATTACTACACTTCTCTGAACCTGCTTCCTTATCTGCGAAATGGGTCGACGATAATACCCGCTTCAAAAAACTGCTGGAGGATTGACTGAGATAAAGCCTATGACGCGCTTAACACAGGGCCTGGCCCAAAGTAAGCACTCGGTCACGCACGGCAGCTGTAGTTGTTACTTTGCCGTCCCTCCAGGCCACCTCTCTCAGTCTGGAGCTTCAGAAATCAAAGGAATCTGGAGCCTCCGGATGACTCACAGCCAGTGGGGTCTGCGGCTGGGCGTGAGCTGGCCGCTCTCACCGTTGGTCCTCTGAGGACACCACTGGGTTTCCCTTCCTTGTCGGCTTTGAGCCACCACCTCTGCCCCCTCCAAGCAGGTCCCTAGCAGGTTGCTGTCCCTTACGTGCCTCTCTTTCTCCCACAGGAGACAGAGGAACTGGAGGAGGAAAAGTCAGGCCTGCAGAAAGAGATTGCTGAGCTGCAGAAGGAGAAGGAGAAGCTGGAGTTCATGCTGGTGGCCCACGGGCCCGTGTGCAAGATCAGCCCTGAGGAGCGCCGATCGCCCCCAGCCCCCGGGCTGCCGGCCATGCGCAGCGGGGGCAGTGGTGTGGGCGCCGTGGTGGTGAAGCAGGAGCCCCTGGAAGAGGACAGCCCCTCGTCCTCGTCGGCAGGGCTGGACAAGGCCCAGCGCTCAGTCATCAAGCCCATCAGCATCGCGGGAGGCTTCTATGGGGAGGAGCCCCTGCACACCCCCATCGTGGTGACCTCCACGCCAGCCATCACTCCGGGCACCGCGAACCTCGTCTTCACCTACCCCAGCGTCCTGGAGCAGGAGTCACCGGCCTCGCCCTCCGAGTCCTGCTCCAAGGCTCACCGCAGAAGCAGTAGCAGCGGGGACCAGTCATCAGACTCCTTGAACTCCCCGACTCTGCTGGCTCTGTAGCCCAGCTGCCAGGGGCTCCTCGTCACTGCCTCCTTCCCAGGGACCAGCACCTTCCAGCGCTCCAGGGCTGTGAGGGCACGAGGGGGATCCTGCCGGAGCGCTCCGGGCTCTGGGGAGACCTAGGTGGGGTTTGGCAGTGAGGCGCTGGAGGACTGCGATGATCTCTTGGAAGTCGTGAAACCTCCTCCCTCGTTCACCTTGCAAAGCGAATCCTGTTTCTTGAAAAGCCTTGGAGAACTTAGTGTAGTGGACTCGTGCATCTCTGGCTTCAGAAGAGCCTGAAGCTGGTGTGGACCATTCCTGTCCCTTTGTTACTACGAAATGTCTCCGGAGTGATGGTGTCCTTCCCCGCCCCACCAAGCATGCTCGGTGCCTTTGATTTCACCTTCCCTCTATTTGCCCCTTCCATCCCCCAGTGTCAATTTCACTTCCTCTTGGTTTTTATCAAATTTGCCATGACATTTCATCTGGGTGGTCTGAATATTAAAACTCTTCATTTCTGGAGATGGGGCCGCAGGTGGCCCCTCCGCTGGGGCTGACTTGTCCAGAAGGGGACAGTCAATGTGCAATACAGAACCTTCCCTCTCCTGACACTGCCCGACCCACTACCACCTCCAGAGGCACCGGCAGCGCTCCCTGAGCCCTCGAGGAGATGCCGCCATCGCTGGGAAGCGCAGAGGACCCTTCCTCCCCATCCTCGGAGTCGGCTCTTGGAGGAGCGGCGTGGCCAGAAGACAGGGTGTGAGTGACAGCCGGGGCACAGGTTGTGTTTGCCAAACGCCTAATTAACAGGCCAGGAATAGTGCCAACAAGCCACACGGTGTCCTAGCCGGCTTCCCTTCACCTGCTGTCTTGAGCGGGACATCTCCTGTAATTACTGCCTTGCCATTCTGCCCCTGGACCCTTCTCTCCAGACCAGGGAGGTGTCCCTCCCTAAGAACCACACATCACTCCTTGTCCCTGCCGGCTCCGCCCTCCCCCACCCTGGCTCTCAGAGTGATGCCACCCACAGAGATTTAATGAGCGTGGGCCTGGCCCCTCCCCAGATTGCTGCCACATGGCCCCTCCCCAAGCTTCCAAGGCGCCTTTGCTGCAGATGGGAAGGCAGAGGAGGGCAGGGGGAGGCCCGTGGAGTAGGACTCACCTCACACCAGCCCTGGTGCCTGGCTTGCCCTGTCCTGGCTACTCGCGTCTCTGAAGTGCCCATTGCCAACTGATGGATCAAGTGCTTTCTCTTTATACTCCCTAACCTCCTCAGCCCAGTGTGCTCTTTGGGTCCGACAGCTGGCCCAGAGCTGTTGCCGTGGCTTGGGGCTTATGCACCATTCCTGGGGGCTGCTGAAATGGGAGCTAAGATGGTGATGTTTCTGGCTGCCCCCCTTCCCACAGGTGGAGGGTGGGGAAGGGCTCCTCCTGGCCCCAAAGAGCAGAGCTCAGCAGAGTTCAGCGTGGTCCCCGCCTGCCACCCCTCGGAGCCTTTTCCTCCGCAGGGCACAGCTCTTCCGGTCTTCCAGGGCTGGCCGCTGCTGGGCGAGCGCGGAGGGAGACCTCGCTGTTGTGATTCAGCTTTGCAGATTATTGTATGGTAATTTAAAACTATGTAGCTGTTATTTAAATCAAACCCAGTGGGGGCTAAAGGAGAGAGCAGTGACTGCTTAAAGCTCACCTGTTCCTTTCGCACGCCTAGGCCTCTGTGCTGGTCACTGATTAACGTCCGTTGCCACGCACTAGACACACAATGCAATGGCGTATGCTTAAAACGGCCCACTGTGACTGGAAGTGACGTGTGGAAGGAGAGGTGATGAAAAGGGATTTTGTCCAAAAATTTTTTTTTAAATGTTATTTGCTACGTCCCTTGGCAGTGATGCTGCCCTCCCAGTCCCCCAGAGGTCCTGGGAGAGGCGTGCCTGATGAGAATGGGCAATTAGGTTTCTGGCTTCAGATTGACCCAAGGAGCTGAGGTCAGCCAGGAGTGGCAGGAGCCGGGCAAAAAAAACTGGGGTGCTCTCTGCTCTGAAGAGCTTAATCATCTCAAGTGGTGTTTGCGGCCAAGTGGGAACTCTTTGCATATATATGTATCTTAAATGAAGCTGCTTTCTGGTGTTTCATTTCTGAAAGTCCCTTTATGCCCTAGTTTGCACAGCACTGATCCCAAGGCAGGTCACAATCTGTGACTTGAGGCCAGGCTGGTCATTTCCTGAGATGGAGTTTGGCTTTAGTGCAGACTTCAAGCCGTGTTGGCTTTTGGACCAGCAGAAGGCAGAATCCCAACCACCTCACAGGACCTGAGAGGCCACCAAGCTGTGTTCCCATTCAAGGCCCTCTGGCTTTGTTCTAGGAAGTGGTAGGCGGTTGTTTGGGGAAGGCTGGCTATCACACCTAAGTCGTGAGCATGTCCTCAGTTACTTCCTCTGGCTTGTTCTCCAAGTTCATGTGCACACACCCCCCTCACTCTTGATCACCAGACACCAGGCCCTGCTGTTCCCCCTGTGGCTCCAGCTGAGACAGCAGCTGCCGTGGGGGGCTTCGCACCTGGCTGGGAGCCGCTGTGCTTCCCCTGTGTCCCCAGCCGTGAGGCAGCTGGGGTGGACTCCAGCGGGGCTGCTGGCAGCTCTGGGACAGCATAGGGCAGGCACTCCTCGACAAGCTAGTGTGAAATACAGTCTTCGTGGCCACCTGGCGGGCCCGTCTGGGAACAGACCTCTTCCTGGCTGGGCAGAGGGGGACAGCGGCTGACACAGGAAAGAAAGGAGGTCCCAGGTGAAGCTTGGGAAATAGCTGGGGCCAGCTCCAAGCACAGAATTCACTCGGGAGGTTTTCAGAAAGAAGTCTTCATTCTGCCTGTGTAAAAGGCCAGGTGAGTCCACTGTGGTCAGTCACACAGGCTCCTCGAAGCCCAGAGCCACCAGAGGCTGCTGCCTCTCTCAGGCTTTGGGGAGAGGCATTTCCTCTCTGCTCCCACGTGGCTCCAAGTGTAAGGGTGGGCTCAACTCCATATGTATCGAGACTTCTCTACCGTTGGTTGACGGACCAACAGTGCCCCTTGTAATCTCGCCATTTAACTTTTCAGGTTGATTTCCTTCCTGATCGGATATCTATGTGGCCCCTTTAAGAAGGAAAAGAGTAAGCACCTACTATGTGCCAGGCACTGTGTTAGGCACTTTTATATATACCCTCTTTACGGTGAGACTAAGGAATGAGGGCATCCCTTATTAAAGGTCCCCCAAACACGGATAAACAAAAACTTGGAGGGGAGAAGGTCTTCAAAAATCTAAGACAAGATTGTCTTCAGTCTGAGGTTTGTTCCCAAAGACCCACCCCCTACAATGTCCTTTCGCCTCCAACTTTCTTCTTTTCTCTCTACCCCGTGATGTACTCCTTTGCACTCCTCAAATGGCTGGGGGTGGGGGGGTTACTTGAGTCCTTGTAGAATTTGTGGACCAATGGGACATGTGGTGTGGATAACTTTCTTTTAAAAATGGAAGTAAAGGGGTCTTGCTAATTTCTGCTTGTTGAGTCTTTGGCATTCCTCTTAAAAGCCAGCATCTCACTATTTATTGACCGGTTGGGATGTGCGTGTGCGTGTGCGTGTGCGTGTGCGTGTGCATTTCCAGGCGTGCCCGTGTCCTCCTGCAGCTCTCACAAAGGAAACCCAGTCATCCCACCACTAACTTGACATCCTCTCCTGGTTCTAGTGTTTTGGCCAAACATCAACAAAGGGTTTTAATTTTCCAGTTCAGGAGGGGCCGGGTCGAATTTTGAGGAGGGTATGGGAAGGGGAGGGGGAGAAGAAATTGACATTTATTTTATTATTTATTTTAAATGTTTACATCTTTGTGTTGTACCAAGCCTGACTAGAAACAGATAGCATTAAAGTACTCAGTTCCTCCCTCTCTTTCTTCCTTGATTTTTTTTTTTTAAGTTTAGGCTAATAATGCTTTTCTTTTGTTCCTGAAATGATTTGTGAGTTGTGCTATATAAACTGTATAAAAAGGTCCTGTTTTTAAAGATGGATTGTCATTCCACTGGGGACAGAGATCCCCAAGAAGTCTGCATTGTAAGAGAACACAACAAAAGGTCCTGCCCTGTCCCTTAAAAAGTATCTTCTCTGTATGATTAAAAAGTTTATTCCAGTTATTTTAGTTTGTGGTTACTTGATGTCAAAGAAGAAAATAGTCACCTTTGTATAAAGAGTAAGATATCGGGGTGTCTTTTCTGCCGTGGGAGATGTATGTGTAGTATTTCCGTATATAGTGGAAAATGATGAGCTTTGTTTATCAGTATCTGAGATACGTCAATGATGTGGAGTAAAGTCTGCTCTGAGATCCCAGAGGCAAACAACTTGGATTCCTACAGCCCTATGGGGAATTTAATTACCTTCCTGAGCATCTTCTGTCTCCTTTCTTTTCTTTCTTTTTTTTTTTCCCCCAAGTATTGGTGAAATGGTCCCATTGGAAAGGCTTCTAAAAAGGCCTCTCCAGGCAGGACCCTGAGCTCAAAAATTTTTGTACAGTTTTGAAAATTGAGAAGTGTCTCCGCTCTGAAGCATCTCTGGGGTGTTTCTTGTCTGGTTTTACTGTAATACAAGCCTACAGTGTTTGCACTAACGAAAGCTTGTTGGAAAAAGCTTGCTGCTATGGAAGAAAGGACGTACTGAGACTTGTTTTTCCTTTGCATTTTCTTTGTTAGCTTTTCCACTTTTAATTGAGTAGCATTTTGTAGAATAAAATGGATTAAGATTGAAGAGCCTCTTATGGTTGGTTTATTGCACCTTCTCATCGCTCCTGTCACTTTTCCTTCTGATCTTTTCTCCCTTTGGCTTTGTGGGTAGAGTTGGTGTCTCTGGCGGGTGAGGGGTTCAGGGAATGGTTTGCCTGGAATCTGCAAAACATGAGGTGGGCCCCTGGGAGGGGCTTGGAGCTCCCCTGCCTCCTCTCCTGCTTGCTTCCGCCCCACCCTGTTCCCTAGTCTCAGGGCCTGGTACTCAGCCAGCTGCCAACTACCACCAAGCTGTGAGCCAATAAAAGTCCAAGGTGCTGTCCCTTCCTGGGGGTACTTTGTTTGAACAGGTTGTCTCAGGAAACCCAAGAATCTTCAAAGAACCAGTAAAGGTATCACTCAGATGGTCCAAGTGGTCAAATGAGATTATGCCTAGGAGAGAACCCCGAAAACAATAAAGGCGTGCAACTTAAGTAGAATAATCACATCCCCAGATTTCCTTTTTCAATAAACACAGGTCGTTAGGTGTGGAACGCACAGGAGTATCAGCCAGCCCCCACTGTCCTGTCAACCAGGAGACCCCGGGGTAAACGGGATGTTGCTCTGAGTACTCCTGCCTTGTAGCGTAGATGGTAGGGAGGCACACCTGTCATTAGTTAATGCTCGTCCGTGGTCGGCAACTGTCTGAGAATTCGCCCCCGACCTGACACCACTTGCTCCAGATCTGCTCACACAAGCTCAGCGGGCTTAGCTTGGTGTTCAGGCCTCATCCAGAGGGGGACCTGAGAGCACTGGACCATGAGTCAGAGGGGCCCTGACTGCGAGGCTGCCCCCACTGCTCACTGGCTGCTGAGGTTGGGAGAAAGCCATTTAATGTCTCTGAGCCTTCATTTTCTCGCCTGTAAAGGGGGAGAGTAACAATGGCATCCTGAGCGTAATCGGAAGGATTACGATATCCCCACCTGTCCCTTTTGAGAGGACCTGGAGCATTAGGGGACGGGGCGCTCAGAAGTCTCAGCCCCAGGCCTCCTAGTGACCTCTTCTGCCTGAGCAGCCAACACAGAAAGAGTCTGGGGCGTCGCAGTGGTCCCTGTGCCTCCCTGTGGTGGAAGCGTCCCGGACGCAGTTGCCCCAGTGGTCGCTCCGGCTTCTGTGAGCCGGGCACTCGGCCGTGCGGAGAAGCCGGCGTGCCTGTGTCTGTGCTTGCCTCCCTTGTCTAGGCGCTCCCACAGCATTTTTCACCCTCCAGTAACACTTTGAAATCTGCTTCGTCAGTTCAAATTCCCACCTCTTCATCCCTGCGGCACCTGGAGCGAGGTCGGTGATCGCCAGGCACTGATTAGACCGAAAGGCTTCGCAGACCTGCTTTCTGCAGCTGCTCATGCCTCAAAGGCATCCGGTGGCGTTTTAGTCTTTTCGTGAGGAAAAAAAACAATAAGGGGCCATTTCTGTTGGGTTCCCAAACCTAACAGGCTTCATCAGGAAATTTTGCGGTCACCTCTCAGTCTGAGCTATCGTGGTCCAAACCTGTTCAGGAGCCTGGGTTGGTGGCAAACTCAACAGATTGCATTTGCAACAAAGGTGGAGTTCTGGGATTACGCAGAGTCCAGTCCCTCAGGAAAGATGTCTCGGTGAGGGATTCCGAGGACTGTCCCTTTTTGCCTAACCTAGGGTTCCCTCTGTGAGCACAGCTCTGTCACCAGGCTGTCTCTGTTCGTTGGACTGCCACCACGTAAGGGAAAAGGAAATGGCTCCTGGAGTCAGTATTTTCCAAGACGTCCAGCAACATTGTCTCTTGGGCGACTGAGACGATGCATGTGAAGGCGTATAAAAAAGGGTGAGGTGCTAAAAAAATGAGGACGCTTACGTGGTTCAACCCCGCAGACCTTGGTTATAAAGCTGACTGATGCAACTTGATTATAGCACAGCCCTTGGGCCCTGGGCTCCAGAGCCGCATGGGAAATGGTAGGGTGTGATTTCCCTTTGGGCTCTGTGTGTTTAAGGGGTGGATGGGGTGCTTGTCCGTGGGCAGCCCAGCCTCCGCTGGCCCAGGCCCTGCTGGACCCACAGGCCGCAGGCCCGGGTGGGGAGGGGAGGAGGGCCGGCGGCCTCCCCGCCAGGCCGGCTCTGCACCCACCAGGACGCTGCTCTTACACCTGCCCTTGCTCTCCCTGACAAAGTGTGTTCCTCTCCTGACGGGACAACAAAGGACAGTTTCCTGAGAAGCTGTGAGCTCTGAGGACAAGTCCACTCACCCTTCTTTACATGTAGCCAGCCTTAGCCCTTGCGGACGCTGCCTGCCGGAGAGGGGAGCTGGGGCCTGCGACTCTGCCCTGCGGGCAAGATCCCCCTCCTTCCTCTGCGCTGGCCCTGGAGGCAGACGCCTCAGCAAAGCTATAGGGTGTCCATCTGTCCACTGTCGGCGAATTGTCTCTGGAAACTTCCACGTGTTTAAAGGAAAAATAATATAAACCTGCCTCAGGCTACACCTCTGGAACTAGAAAGTCCTTAATCGAACTAAACACCTTCCCACGTCCTTGTGGCAGCCAGAGGAGAAGCAAACCAAAACATAAATACTCCACAGCGCTTGGCCTACTTGGTAATGGGCTCAGCGGATGCCTACGAGGACACCTGGAGAACACAGCCCTGCTCCCACCTGGGGGAGCCCATTCTTTATCCGAGTTCAGGGGGCTGTGGGACCTTAGGTCCGGGGACTCTGCTGGAGTATAGCCCTGCCTTGTCCTGTAGGGCATATAGAATGTGTTCAGTGTTATTTAGATGATACGTCATTTTTTTTTTATTGAGGTGAAATTCACATAACATAAAAGCAACCATTTTAAAGTGAAAAATTTAGTGACATTTAGGACTATAATCACAGTACTGCGGAACCACCACCTCTGTCTAGTTCCAAAACATTCTCATCACCCCAAAAGGAAACCCCGACCCACGAGGCAGGCACTCCCCATCCCCTCATCCACCCCCAAGTCCCCGGCACCTCTTTCTGTCTCTGCGGATCTATACTTAGGTAGTATTTTTGAGCATCCAGAGATTCTATCTTCTGAACTAAAAACAATCATGAAATGTTAGCATGGAAAATAAACTAATGGCTATGACTAGAAATATAGTTTGCTCCTTATTTCAGTGCTTCATAGATTTCACATGCCCTCCCATTTGTGGTCTCGCTCAGAAGCCTGAGAGACAAACGCGGCCGAGCGTGTTGGCAATTATCAGCTCTGGGAGAAATTCCTTTTCCCTTACGCAGCGGCGTGTCTGGTGCACCAGCAGCTACAGTCCCTGCCTTGATCTGCTGCATAAGGCCTGCGTTTGTTTCTCCAATAAAGATGGAATAACCCTGAAAAGACAGACTTTGTTCACCAGTGAAAACAGACACCTTTTCCATGTTGTAAACACAGGAGAACGGCGTTTAAATTACTTTTAAAAATGAACGTGTAGGCGGAGACTGTCGCCATCATATTCTCGCAGGTTTGAGGGGGGAGATACCTCATTCATTCAAAGATATTGTTGTGTCCCTATTAAGTACAGGGCACCGTGGAAGACACTATTTATGTGAGTGTTATGTACATAAGGCGTCTCTGCTTCACAGTCAGATGTTTTCGTTTAAAATGTCTGTTAAGTACACACCAGAAGCTTCCCGCCAGGAGGTTACAATCTGATAGGGGTGGTGACACAGAGAAGGTAGACATTTATGGCAGAAGGCTGTTGTGTGGTTTGGCCTGAGGCAAGTGGGGGTGTTTGAAGAAGATTCCACAGTGGCAGGGGCCGATGTCTGTGCGAGGTGGCGTGGAGAGCAAGCGGCCCCGGGAGGGAACAGTGTGTGCAAAGACCTGGTGGGAAAGACAAGGGTGGGGCACCTTTGGGGACCGGGCAGGAGTCCCCAATATTGGGGGCATGGGCTGATTCTAGGGGATGATGGAAGTGTAATCTGAGACTTTGAGGGCCTTAATGACAGGCTTGAATCTTTCCATCAGCTGGTCCGGCAGCCCGGCATAGGGCCTGTTTGTGCTACGCATTGTCCTCCCCGCTGGGGAGACAGAGCTGACAGACAGACCAACAGACAGACACACACAGCCCTGCCATCTGCTAATGGGGGGTAGGGTCAATTAATTATAAGTGCACCGAGTCTCTCAAAGAAGATATACAAGGTGCTGCGGAGAAAATAAAGGGGTTGTAAGGAAAATAACCCAACAGGACGATCTGAAAATAAATTCCTAACTGGGCAGGTCATGGTGCCTAGACACGCCTCAGGCATGTAACTTTTCAGTAGAAGGTTTATCTTTGCCTTAAGCAAGTCCTGTCCATTATTTCTGTAAAACTAGGTTAACACACTTTTGAAATGCCAGAAGTAATACCCTCGAAGGGGGTGTAAACTCTCCAGACAACGCAGTCTTGTTAGCTATCCTGTAATCCAGTCCCACCTCGCTTTCTTCTACCTCCATGTTGGCTCCCTCCTTAATTTTCAAATGCATGACAGAAGCTGCAAAACTGTTATTCTCGGCAGCATTTGAGAGCTTCTCCCTGGCATATGTCATCCGTTTGGCTCAAATAAACTCATAAAAATTCTCTACAGGTTTGGACGTTTCTTGCGTCAACAGTGTCGTTGGTGCAGGTACCACTGAGATGCTTCCTAAAATGGGGAGATTTATTTTGAGGTATCGGGAGCTGCAAGGAGCTGTGGAGTGGGCGGGAGGTGGGCGACCCAGCCATAGTCGCCCTCGGAAGGCAGGCTGAGGGGGGCGCGTGGAGGAGGGATGTTGGAGGCAGGCATCTGCGAGGCGATGTCCCAGGGAAGGAAGGCGCAGAGCTGGCCGTGGAGCTGGAGGGCAAGAAGGTGCTCCTGGGAGTCCAAGCTGTCTGGTTCCAGGAATGGAAGCTTGGAGGCAGACAAGGAGCTGCGTGCCGGTAGGGAGGCCCAGGTCCTGAGTTCAGTGTTAGGCCTGTGGTTAAGAACCTGCCGGATTTGCAACTGTGCATGTTCTGCCGCGGGGCAGAGGCAG